AGAGTTCTGCTATCTACGATTCGTCCCGACGTCGATCTAAATTTTTAACCATGTGAAAATAACGTCGGAGACGAATCCAGCCACGAATTATGTTTCCATTGATTTTTATTAATTACATATTCATCTTTATCGTTCATCTACCATATACCATACTCCGTCGCACGCGCATTCTTATTACGTGCAACTGTATAACGCTTACACTCGGCCCGCGATGTGCAATAAAATCACGCTTATTACTCGATGCTCCATCTTACGCAAGGTAAGCTTCTGTTTTCTTTTTTCCTTTTTTTTCTTTTTCTTTTTTTTTTTTTTAACTAGAATTCCGCTACATTTAAGGCTTTAGATGGAAGCATGTAACAATAATTTGTCGCGTGAATAGGATGCGGCGTGAAATCTCGATTACCGATCTGTCCTCTTCTGTACTTTCCTGCGCGATTTATTCTCTTCTCTTCCTCTCTCTGGAACCAGGACGATCTGAACGCAATTATGTGTTCAACTCAATACAGAATGGTGTTTAATAATCGGAAATAAATAAATAGTATCTTTAATTCAGACGAATACTATACTGCTTCGTTAAAAGATTTGCGTTTAATTCTGTAAGGTACGTACTTCGTTATTTTATTGCGCAATTACGTTCAGAATCGCCTTTCTCGGTTGGACGATTAAATATACTAAATACAACAGTGGTATTGTTCTATGTTCACAAGAGAGCTTACGTTTTCCTTGTTCTTTTGCATCCGTTATTGGTCTCTAAGTAGGTTAATGGCAACATCGCTAAACACGGTTAACGCTATTTTCATTGGATTTAGTCACGAAAGCCGAGAGTTTTGTTCTCAAAGACCTTTTTTTTTTAGGCTCAATACGCAAGAAGTATATTATCATAAATTGTACAATACGAAGTAATACTTAAAACGTAGAGATTTCTTTTTTCTTTTCTTTTTTTTTTTCTTCTTTTTAAACGAAAGTATCGATTAATTCTTAATTGACGGTACGAGCGTACAGAAACATCAAGTAGGGAATCGTAAAGATTCTTTGGTGAAGCTTCACGATTCACTGACGATGACAAACACTTTTTCACTTATCGTCTTTCGTTGTAATATCTGAAATGAAGATCCCACCCAGTCGAGAATCAAAAAGCTCTTTTTATATAAAACGCGAATTTGGAGCAAAAAAAGGTACGAGTGTTCGTTTCTCAAAATCTTTCTCAAAATAATTTAAACGACTAGTACCTGAATTTATATATTGCTACATACACGTTCGATAAACTGGATAAAAATTTACGAAGGAAATGAAATGCAATTAATTTCAAACGGACGAACATCCAGGAACCTGGGCATGCTTAAGAACGATTTTTCTCTTCACGTTTCTACTACTTGATATGCCCCAGTGTTATTGAAACGCTATGCCTCGTACGAGGCTCGTACATCTACTTATATATCTATCGTCCCCTTAATATATTCATAATACGACCTGCCTCGAAAGGAACAACGCTAAAGTATACAACTTTATGAAAATAAAAATTTTCACAATCTACCAAAACCACGAAAGTCTGACAGACTACCAAAAAACGTATAACATTGTCTTCTTTATCTTGTACAGTATACAATATAATGACGTCGTTAATCATAATATTAATTACAATAATTATAATTATAATGGTATTCACAATTCGCGAACCGTAATCGCAATCACCTTTTCAAAGTATGATCTATTAAATTCTGGCATTACGGTGCATAAAGTGATCTCAATAGACATATGTATGTATATAATATATATCTGTACAATAACAATTACAATAGTACCACTTGTGGCTGTTCGCGAGATTTCTCCTCCTCCATTCTGTGTATGTTTTTATTTTATGTGTGTTTATGTATTCCGTAATTCTTCTCATGTCTTCAATATCGAGCATAACGTACACGATGTAGTTCAATTAGTTTAGTTAGCGAATAGTCTAAATTACGGATTGTGTCCAGTGTCAAGAGACGACAAGCAATTCAACTCGCGAGTGCGACGTGCTTTCATTCGAAGTGCAAAATTTTCCTCCTATAATCTTGTTTTCGAAAAAACATCTTTCTTAACATAAAATATCGGTATATACGTAATACATAGATATGATAGTCCTGGAAGAGAAAGTTGCGGTTTTTTTTTTTTTGTTTTAAGTAAATTTGGCGTAAATAAATATATATCTCTGTAATGGAACAACGAATATTCTTAGGCCTCTTTGACATTGAAACGAACGAGTTGCCAACACGTTTTAGATAATTTGAAATTGTACGCCATCGAATTTATAAATACCTCTCTTCTGATTCGGTTCACTGAAAAGAGGTATCGCATGAAAGACACAGTGACACGAAGAAATGCGAGTCCATCGTCGTCGGTGCTTATTTTATTATTATTATTTATCCACGACCTTCGACGATTTGCTGTAATGAAAAATAATATTCTTCTTCCTTTTTTTTCTGCGTTTGTTTCTTTTCTTTAATAATTGCACTTCCATCATTGCCCTCGCATATTCCATGCGTCACTGGTCAGAGAAAAGTATAAAAAGATATAAGTTTTTGCAATAATATCGTTTCAAAGATAATATGCTTATCAAGCAATATTTATGCATAAATATACATGTATCGTAATACTGATAATGAAACTATCTGTAAGAAGAAAATAAAGAAATAAAATAATTAACATAGTATTTAGAAATTCGTGCAGCATTTTGTAAAAAAATTAATATAACTTTTAAACGACTACTTGAAAGAACCAAATATCAATTCTTGGTAAGTTTCTGCTTCATATAATGTTATTTAAAACTTTATCTGTATATATATATATTTATATATAAATATACCAAATATAGTATAGTGTGTTCTTGATCATCAAACGTCTCTATTACGCAAACCCGAAAGCACATCGCGCCTCGTAGATTTATATAATTATAAGAACGTAATAGAATACATCATATTCCTTTCCCTTATGTATGTACAAGTATAATTAATTTCATTTTCCAAGCACGGTTGAGGAGCATAGGAAAAAAACAACAAATACCTTCGTCAAATATAATGCAGCTCCTGAACGCATGCTGAGTGATATACATTCATCATACATTGTAACAGTATAATATGATTACTATTTTATGTATTATATATAGTATATAAATATTATTCTGATTCGGTATCATTAGTGTCAATTTTCTTTCGTTATTAGGGCTATTCAGAGAGAGAGAGAGGATTCGCGACTTGGGATTTTCATGCAAAATCCTTGAAGCACTCTACGCTATATCACATCCTATGTCTGAGCACGTTTTTTTTCCATTAATATCTCATTAGGGATCAGCTATGTATGTATAACTTTATATGATAGTTTTTAGTATTAATGGCTAAGAATGGAACAAACTGTGGTGACATTTCAAGAGGTAGAGAAACAGTGTGTAATGCGTGTGTGTGTGTATTTGTTAACTGTGTCTTGCGTCACGCAATTTAATAATTACATATACTTAAATTCACTCGATGTAACGCAATCCTCGCCGATTAAAAGTCTATCGATGGGATAAGATAAAACAAACATTTAATAACAATTCTCGATTATTTTTGCCCAACAGCATGACATTTTTTTTCTTTTATCTTATGCAAGTCCCGGGAACGAATTTTAACATCGCAATCGGAATTGGAATTTCACCTCTAATGGAGAACTACTCTTGATCACATTGTAGGGTTCTGGTAGACTTTCCAGGATACAGAGTTACTGAAGATACAAATATATCGATCTAAATAAACTCTTTTTCTTTTTTTCTTCTTTTTTTAAATATCTATCAACAAGAAGATCGTGTGTACGAATCTCCGGTATTTAATATCAATATCCAAAGCGAAACAACAATAAATTATACGTTATATCAGATCCTAAAATTTTTCTTCATCGCGCTATTAGAACATCTTTATTTTTTCTGGGATTACACAATATATATCATTGTTCTATAGTTTATGAAAGAACATTTATTTCCTTTTAACACTAAACTACTTTACGAAGTAAGAGCAATATACATATATGTGGAATGTAACGAAGCGAATTACACACGTGTTTTACAAGTATACAGAGTGTATTCCCTTACACGCGTATATTTTTTTTTTTTACATGGCGTTTTTCCTTTTCTTTAAATATATGTATATATATAATATCTATTATTTCGCGCACATATGTCGAATAACAATACATAAAGTTGAAGGCAACGTCATCGCTTATTAATCCAATTTTTCGGATCATGCAAGAGAGAGAAAGAGAACGAGAGAGCGAAGAAGATAAAAAAATATAGCTGGTTACAATTCGCAAAAATTGGTTATCGAAACACACTATCGGAAAACAGTAAGACATTGAATTAGTGTTCATTCTCAACCCTGAACAGTCTACCAATCTACGTAGCGCAACTTAAATAAGATTACCCATAATAATTCATTATCGTGGTTAGGAGGGCAAGATATCTCGCATGTAAAAAAAAAAAAAATGAAAAAAAAATGGATTATGAGACAGCAAGGGTCTATTTACTTGATCTTGAATGCATCCATCAGCTCGTTCACGGCGGCATTAGCAGCGGCCTGCGTCGCAGCTTGCGTCACCCTCTGCTGAAGACCACCCCCACGACTAAACATACACCACGGACACTCAGCTTTTACTACAGATCTCGTTTGTTTTTAATGCCTTAACAATAATATGCTACTGTACAGAATTCGACATATATATGGTGATTTAAATTAATATCTGCATGATGCACTAACACTTCAATTCGACTTTATCGTGCATTCACGAATGTCCTAAGAAGTATGTGTAATCTCTCGCGTGATTCTAAAAAGCGACAGACGCGGGAAACTCAGCGACGAGTACTCTCGTCAACGATCAACTGCTTGACATTCATTCAACAAAATGAATATTTTCAATGCAGGCACCGACACGTCCATCCCCGATTGCTAATTGACAAGACTCAAATCAATTCTTCTCGCTTTTTCTGCAACTTTATTATTTATCGAATCGACAATGGCAGGAAAGCAGCGATATTAAGAGAGTTTCAGAAGCTATCATCAAATGCAACACGTTATTACGAAACTTATTGCGTATTGTACTTATATATCACATTCTCTCATACAAGTCTTTACACCCATCGAAACGTTGTTCCACGAGTTTATTGAAGATGTATTTCGTTTACGAGGCAATTAAAATGTCATGCTGTTAGTAAAGCGAATGAATACTTATCCACCATCTGTGATAAGAACTCAAGATCATTTATTTTACAACGTCTTTAGTTGTATATACAGGCATCATGTACAATTTCATTCAACTAATTTACAATGAAACAAACGTCGTTCTACCTCTTTTGTTCGTCGCGAATGAGCTGTGATTTATTCTCTACATATTATTTCTTCTTTTTTTTTTTTTTTTGCCACTAATACCAATTAGATATATCGTAGATATATCGTAGATATTTAGTCTGTTAATTAGAGGTGTGCAATTTTGTAATGAATTTATCGAATTGATGAATTGCAAATTTATAGAAATTTGTCTAGGGCGAGTTTAGAACACTATGCTTTACAATATTGTCTAAAATAAAATGAAGTCGATAAAAAAAATACGGACAATAATCTCTTGGTCATTTTTACGAAATAATTGGACCACGAAATAATTTGATATATTACTGATATACAGAGTATAACGTGTAATATGAGATAAATTGCTCATCAAAGTTGTTGGAAGCTTTCTTTAATCTGTCATTGGTTATTTTTGTACAATTTACACACCCCTAATTAACAATAATAATTCGTAATATTTGCAGACAAAACATATAGCATTAGGAAATTGTATCTCGTGTAAAATATACACTGGCTAGATGCAATTGATATATATATATATATATATGTATATTAATTAGTAGCGAATAGGCGAGTTAGTGCGAAGACTTATTGTCGGCGCCTGCAATAGAAAGTGAAGTTAGCACCAAAGCCCCAATCACACAAAGCTATGGAGAACAAGCAACTGCAAATTTCTTTTTTAAAATATTCAGTGACGATTAAGAATAATTAAAAAAAAAGGAACCTCCATTTTGTACACAAGACGACCTTGACACAAATTAACAGAACGTTGTGCAAAATTTGTGAGAAACTTGACAATCGGAAGATACTCCATAGTACAGAGTGTTTGAAACTATTTGTTCTTTTAAATGTTCTCTGTACTACTTCACAAGGTACAATTCCATTAAATTAGATGAAAATTACGTTAATCTTTGGTACTTACGATGGTATAAGAGGAGGAGGTAGGCCAGGTGTAGAACGGGCTGGCGGAGGTCCACCAGGTCCAGGCCGGTTAGGAATAGCCGGTGCTGGTCGACCACCCGTCGGGACCGGAGGTGGAGCTCGAGAGCTAGAAAGAGGTGGTGGCTGTGTCACTCCGCGTCTTGGTCCACCAGGAGATGGTGGTGATAACCTATAACACATTTATTTCAAAATAAACAATAATCATTATATTTATTGCTGTTATAAATATAGAAAATATGTAATGTATTTTCATGTTTCAATTAAAACGCACAGAAATAAGTCTATAAGCAAATTATAAAAGTCAGGTTATTCTATTTATAATTTAGATTGCGTTTGAGTAATAAATTTTAGTTAATATAAAGAATGTAGTAACTCTTACCCAAGACTGTTTCAATGGTGTTCAAGTGTATGAGGCAAAAGCAGGCAGTATAAGATTGAAAGATATCAAATTAATTAAATGCATAAGCGACAATGAAAATAATAACATAATTATTACCTTGGATTTTCGCCAGATGCTAACCAATCATTTTTCACAGGTGGTGGTACTGGAGTAGACACTGTCGCCATCGAAACATCTCCAATAATACGAAGTGCCTCCTTGCATGCATGATACATACGTAACATTTCTTCTCGTTTTTGTGCTTCTTCTGGTGACTCCTCCATCATTGAAGCCTATAATAATACGCGTTCAAATACTCATTTTAAAATTTTACTTATACGATAAATTTGACTATAAATGACAAAGTGCAAAATAAGAAAAATTATTTTTAAATTATATTTAAAAGCAATAAATGTATATATAATAACAATCATATTGAAAATTTATTTGTGTGTATAAAATTATAATGTACTAAATTCACATATTACCTGATCACCACTTGCGTATAGATGTGCCAATAACTCTCCATTAATGAAGTCCTTTGCATTGTTAATAATCAAATGCATAATTGTCTTTGGAACCAGATCACGAGTTGTTTTTGTAACAATTTTCATGTACGAATCCACCAGATTTCTAATAGTTTCCACTTGACGTTCAAGCTGAGGATCCATTGATGACTGAGCTTCTGATCCACCCTATAAATATGCAAATAGTAAATTTCAAGCATTCGTTCAAGTTAAAAATAATGCTTAAGATAATGTAACAAGCATAATTAACAAAAATAAAAATAAAAACAACAGAATATTTATATATATTCTGTTGTTTTAATTAATAAAGTGTTATTGATTTTATGTTTAAATGGAAATGCTGCCAGCAGCATGGAATAAAATGTTCTCACAAACACATTTTAATCGTAATCGTATTAAAAAAGCAGAGCTGAGTGGAGGTGTTTTATATTTGTGTGAGTGTCGAGTGTTATGTCTGTATAGCTATAAAATTTCTACAATTGTACGAACCTCATATCCTTCCTTCAGTTAATTAGAAGCAAAACAATTTAATAACAATTGTAAATGCAATACTAAAACTTAATTATTTTTTTGAAGTACATAAGAACTATGCAAATTACGCAATTTATACTTGCATAAAAAGGGATGCTATTAAATTAGATATATTTTCCGAAAATGCAAAGAATTAATTTTTTGCAATATAATTATTGTCTAATTTAATATAAAATGAAAATTTATGAATACTGTTTTATATTAAAATGGAATTTTGATTATAAAACCTAATTGAAATATTTTATAGTATTACACTATGAATATTTTCATCCAAATCCAAAGAATTTTATAATAATCTATAATAATCCATTTCATGAAAAGCAGACTAATGCATCACACCACCACACAGTTAAAAATATAATATCAAACAAAATATTTTAATTACATTTCTCGTACTAACTCACCCGCTGTATATCCTAAAATAAACCAAAATAATCTTTTCTAATAAACATAACAAAATATATTTCAGTATAATAATAAATAATCTTTTCCTTCAATCAAAACAAATAATTAAGTAACTAATTTATAAATGAAAATTATACAATATGCCAATATATTTTTATCGAAGCTGCGTTACAAATAGTACACACGAGTGACATACGTCATCTTATGTCAACTGCGTTTTAATAATACTTTGATTTACATGAATAAATTGTGATGCAATTTGTCATCTTGTAATATAAAAATAAATGCGAGTAGTTATGAGACGAATGACACTCGAGCGTCCCTGAATATGTTGTAATATTTCCCAACATATGATATATTTAATTGAATACACATATGAAACAATATAAACAATACAATTATATAATGAGAAATATACCTCTCCTTCACCATTTGCTTGCTCTGTTGATTTTTCGGGATATACACCAGCCCTGAGGAAAGAAGCTTTCCATGAATCAACATCATCTTGAGTCTCACAACTTAATTCAAGCTGTTTATAATCCTTATAAACATTTCTGCCTTCTGGATTAAACAAAGCAAACAAATGACGTCGGGACATGAATCCTTGTTCCAAATCGCGTAATTTCAATCCATCTAAAGGTAACATGTACTTCTTCTCGCGTTCCTGAATAAAAAACATAATATGTAAAATTTATGTGATCAATGTATTATAATTATATTTATAGTATAATTAAAAAATACTGACTTCTTCATCTTTGAACCAAGAAATACTCTCTGACGTTAAGACAAACCAATAATCTCTTGAACCACCTTTCATTATGCCAAGATTGTGGATACACATGTATCCTTTACGTATTACTTGATTGCCTAGTGTATGACGACCAGATTTTACAGCATTTTCTGAAGACTGTTGAGCACTGTAACATAAGGTATAATTTATAATGAAATGTCAATTAAAAAAAGCCTTTGAATACCCATATATAAAATTTATTGTAACAACTTGCCATAAAAATCTGTTAATTCATTGTGTAAAAAATCTAACAGAATAAAAATTTCAGCAATAATTTTTGTATTAAATTACACAAACATTCATGTAAGTTTAAATTTAATCCTAATTATAAGTAATATTAATTCATTCAATTTTCCAAAACACATGTATTTATAATATAAAAATATTAAACAATGAGATGTGATCACAAAATGACAATATAGAGAGGATAATTACATAGTATATTTTTAATTTATAATTATATTTGATTGGAAGTTATAAATAAAAAATATACTCCTCAATTTATATCTACTTAACAATAAAATTTTCATGTGTTTAAAAAAAAACTAATTTTACCTTTACATTGCTTTAATTTGCATATAATTATAACATACAGTCACAACAACTCCATGCACATACTTTTTCATACAGCTTTAAAGTTAAATATTTTTGAATATGCAACCAAACATTATTTATAACATGTAAGTACACATAATATTATTTCTACTTAATTACACTGTAATATTTTTGCAGATCATAACACATGAAAAATTGCAGAAGCAAATATTACATATATTGTGAAATCATGTGAAAAGTGGTGGAACTAAAATCTGATACTGCTGTATGAAATATACGATTTGGAGTATTCATGAATGACTGTGGCAATGAATGGTCTATTTAATAATACATTTGAAATGTGCAATTATATACAAAATGTTAAAATCAAAATCTTAAAATTGTAATAAATTATGACTACTTTCTACAATGTATAAAACTAAATAAAAATATATAATCGATGAAAACTTAATAATAATTTATTTATAATGAGATATAATGTTTCATGATGGTTAAGTCAATTTCTTTATTTTCATAAACCACTCTCACATTTAATATGTAAATAATTTAAAATTATATTTTAAGTGCCATTCTTACAATCTATATAGTGTATACATATACATGTATATATAAACGGTATTAACTTTTTCAGAATGTAATAAACTAATAAAGAAATATTGAATAAAACTTATAAATTTCAATTTCATTCAAAAGAAAAAGGCTTTAAAATATACTAGAAAAATAGTTTTCAATCTTTTGCTACATGGGAAATAAATTCAATATTGCTTATTAAAATTTTTGTTTTTTATTATAAAACTTAAAACTAGAGAAAGTCAAATGAAAAATAAGCATAACAAATTAAGAGCGTGATAATAGAAAAAGAAGAAAAATGTAGTGTAAATTTTTGTTCCAATGTACTTTATAATTCTTACCTTGCGTTATGGCTACTGGCTGCCGCGCTGCCGATATAATTAAATAATTTTCTTTAATTGCGAAGTATACAGTATCAATGAATGAAAACAAATGTCAGGAAATGTGTATATGCCACTTAGTTCAAGGGAAGACATACATTCGTTAATACAATAAGTATAAAAAAAGTGAAAAATATTGTCAACAAACTGTTGATAATCATAGATAGTTTCTTACATTAAGTATGCCTTACCTTTTAATGACATAAAAAACTTTATAAAAAATAGAATATTCTTATTTCTTATTTCAATTATTGTAAACTATATAATAGGAAACTACTATATAAATTTTTTCTATAATTCACATAACATGATTTAAGAAATTAAAAATATTATTATTGAATATGGAACAAAAATTGAACTCAAATCATAATCATATCAATATTTTATTAATATCTGATACTTTTTTCTCTTTTGAATCTACTTCGCGATATCTTTGAGAACTAACTTTTAAAATGTAGAAGTGTTAAATAAGTAAAATATAAAAATGAATAAAATTTATGTTTGCTAGAGAGAATTAAATTATTGTAAATATGCATAGTACAAAGAGAAAAAATGTGAGATACAATTTCATATGACAATATATGTGACACAATGTGTCATACAGATGTACACGAGAAGTAAAGAAAATAGCATTAAATTCTACTATTTATTAATGATACTAAAAATGTGTGCCTTAGCTTTAAAAAAACAAAATAAACTAATAGTATTTGCTAGTTTAAAGCTTGCAATATAAACTGATTTTGGCAAAGCATGCATTGATTGTAGAATATACCGCATAAACCTGATTATAAAAGTCATATAAATGTAATTAAATATATATTAGTTATGTCAAATACGTTTTCCAATATAAATTTTTACATTCTGAATCATACTACTTCAGGGAAATACGGTATAAATGTATTATATACATTGATATGTTTTTTATATATAATAAAATACAAATCAACATATATAATTTCTAATTTGCATAAAAAGAATTTGCAAGCAAACTAATATATCTAACAGTATATTTAATCAATGAATTTTCTCATCACTTTTCTTTCAACTCATAAAAAAGCTTAAATTATAACCATAATGAAACTAATGAAACTAGTTTTCGAAAATATGTTTATATTTAGTAAAGCACATTGTCATTATGTGAACTATACTGTGTGTTGAATTTACATTTGTCATGCAAAATAGAATTCATTACTGCAAATTGGAATTTTCCAAAAATAATAATTTAACATGTACAGCGAATAGAAATTAAATATTTTATTTTATTCGAGTAATTTATAGTTAATAAAAGTATTTGTTATTATATCTTTTAAATATTATGTTTTACAAATTTATTATATAAAAATGTCGTGTAGTAAATTTTGTGAATACAAATATAATAAAATTTATAGCTGCAGTCATGAATATAATAAGAGCAACATATAGCGCTAGATGTGCGTTTGTTAAAAATTAAATTCTCGTATTATGTTATTTCGTTTAACTTTGCTAAATAGCTACAAAGACATGTAACAAAATGCAGGTAACTTACTTGGCAAAACCAATAAAATCTTCGTGATTTGTATTCATATAAGCAAGTTCACAATCAACCAAGAGTATCAATTGTTCTTTACACAATTGTTCTCGTTGTCTGACATAAGTAGTTATAATACGTTCCGTTTCTTCTCTTAATCTAGGATAACGTGACATCTGTAACATAAAATATAAATTATGTTAAAAATATGTCATTAGGAAAAAAAAAAGTTCAGAAGTAAAAGTCTTATAATTTTACCCACCCTGTCAGTACAAATGCGTACAACATTACTGAGTTCCTGTACAACTAAATCCACACACTTCAGACTAGGTTCTTTGAGTCTATTGATTTGTTTCTTGACTATTGCCTCAAAGGCCATATCAGGAGTAAACAAACCTACTCTGATACCTATGACATTATATTATTGTTAATAACTTATTTTTAAAATCATAACAGCACTTATTTATCTTCATATGTGCAAAACAAAATCACAATGATAAGACTATTATTATTGAAATAATCATTTACCATGAATATTCCTAATCGCAAAAGCAATTTCTCTTCTCAATTCTTTTTCATCAAATTCCATTTTAACTATTTCAAATGGAAAACGTTCATGGAATAATCTGTTTATTTTAGCACCTCCACTAAGCTCCATTGTATTGATTTGTGCAGATCCTGAACCTTCTATAGTCCTTTCAAAATCTGACTGAAGTTGTTGTATCATCCTTAAAAATGTTTTTCTTTCAATCAATGCATAAACAAGCACTAAACCTCAATATTAATTATATGGGCAGAGAGTCATGATATTTAGTAAAGTCAAATAAATTCTACATGATTCATTAATACATTAAAATCTTTAATGTTAGTGAAAATCTTTGTTATTTTTCACTCTTTAATTGGTTATACAATTTTCATGCAAATAATGCACACATGAAAAAAAAAATATGATACCTACAGAAACATTTGAATTGATCTGAAAAATAAGAATAAAAACTCTAAAATGTCAAGACCCTCCACCCATAATGTATTTGAAAAAAAAACTGCAGAAGTAAATTAGTTTATAAGATATTTATGACTCTATTATAGAATATACTACATAATTTGTTATGGAATGTACCATTCTTTTCATTGAAATTATTTTATGATAACAGTTACCAATATCACAGAAATTATGAATTTACATATAATAATATACATAAAAAAGAAAAAAAATACTTACTGCAACATAGCTTTAGTTTTTATGGCAGGATCATCAGGTCTGAAATGTTTGTACTGTTCCACATCCTTCTCCAATGTAAGTAATTGTTTTTGTAATCTATCTCTTAGTGCTGGTAAAGTATCCCTGATATGATTTGTTAATTGCTGATTTAAAACACGTTGCAAATATGGTGTTCCTAATCTATCTGCCAAGTGTCGATAAGATGGATGGCTAGTGTATACAGAAAAAAATATGTTAGATACTTCGATAAAAAAAATTGATCAAAGAACAATTATTCTTTTATTATACCTCAAGAAAAATTTTCTTTCTGCCGCTAGAGCATTTTTTATATCTTTTCGACCTTCTATGTCTTTTTGACTTCTATTAACAACACCTATATAGCCACGTCTTAGAGGTAATAATTTATTTTCCAAAATATCTCTTGCATCAGTACCGTCATCCATAAGATCCAATTTTGTAATAACACCAATTGTACGAACACCTTAAAAAATTTACAATATAAATAATTTGTTAATATTAAGTGTCAAATATTTAAAAATATGTACCTTGAGGATCTACTTCTTTAGCAAGTTTAAGAGCATCACTGTTTGCCAAATCAGTATTTGCTGGCGTTACTGCCAATATAAGACAATTTTCTCTTTTAATAAACTGAAAAATCATGCCTTTAATTTGAGCTTCTATATCTGCTGGTTGATCTCCAATTGGTACTTTTGTGAGGCCAGGTAAATCAATCAATGTCAAGTTTAGAACTAATAACAATAAATATTTTGATAAAGTTATTAACATAGAGCAATATAAAATATAATATTTAAAAAACTGTATTTACCATTAGGCGAATATACTCTTAAATTTATTGGTATATTAGAAATGCCCTTATTGCTGCCTGTAACTCTGTCTGTTTCAGCTTCAATTTCCTTCCGTACTTCATCAAAATCCACAAACTTTTTACCTTTACAATGTAAAAACTCAGCAAATTCTATAATAAAGACATAATTTACTTTATAATATGTGTTTTCTAAATAATATCTTGTTAAAACATTTTTAATTGTTTGACTGCATAGTGAAACTGATAATATTTGTGATTTCCCGCTTATCAAAAGTTCATTGTTACAGGAAATGTGATAATTTTGTGGACAACAAAATTAGAGATAAATAATACTAAATTTTATAAAAAATATCAAGGGATTAAATTTTACATTAAATTTGTACTTAATATTTCTTAGAAGAAAATAATATATAATATGTAAACAATTTAGAACATGTAATAAAATAATTATGTTGTTTATGCTATAGCTGCAGTATTATAATCTAATTCTTAAAAACAATTTACAATGAAATGAACATTAAATATTGTTTTATATTTGCAATATAAAAAATTGTTATAATCATTTTATCTATGATGACTCACCAGTTGTACTATTAATCAGTTGTAAGATAAGTGGTCGTCTGGTTACAATACCAGATCCTCTAGGTAAGAAGTCTCTGAAAATAAAAAAAATATTATTTTTATCTAATGATTTGATATTATTCTTATCTAATGATATCATGTAATATGAATGTAATATTTCAAAACATTTGAATGTAATATTTCTCTTTCCAAATATTGAAATTTGAAAAATTACTGAAAAATGTGTTAGAAATTATCTCATAACTATTATACTTTTCTGTTTAAAAACATTTATGATTTTTCTTAATTGTACAAATTAAATGCAATCGCTGTCCTATTGTTTAATAAAACCAACATAAAAATTTGAAATACGCTGAAATTGCAAGTAAATTGAAACTAAAAAACAAAAATTAAAGAGGACTAAGTTAATAAAATATAACACTAAGCGGCTTAAATCGAGAACAATTGAATTAATAATTTTCCTCGTTACACGTGCGTAGTTCAAGTAATTTAGCAGAAGGTTAAATATCACCAGTAACGGAAAAAAATAACCATTTGACAGGTCACTGTGTAGGCGGCCTCAAATCATAAAGATATACATAGTTAATTTTGATGTCACGATCGATAGATTAAAATAGTTAACATAAAGGGGTATAGAAAAGAGGGACAGTCAAATTAATATAACTGACGACCAGTGTCAAAATTATAATGCGGCGTAGTTCGCCACGCCTTTTTAATCAAATAGTTTGAACAGTCTCCTAGATTCTCAAAAAGCATTAGAAAGCATTCTACAAGCGAAGAAAGACAGAATGACAGAACGTGAGATACTTACTTTCCGACAAAATTTTCGAGAACGGAACTTTTTCCTGCGCTCTGACCACCTACCACCGCAATCTGTGGTAAATCGAGCTGCATGTGCACCCCAAGTTGTGTAAATGCATCTTGGAGCTTGTTCACGATCGGAATCAATTGTTCCATACCCACGTTCCCTGCCATTTTGTTGAGGCTGTTCTCTCACTGGCCCAAGAACACGATCGTTTTCAGTTTTACGGCTGTGTCCTGTGGGCGACACCGAGCTGCCACCACTTCCACGCACAACCGTCGAGGGTAGCTGCCAGAGATGATCCTATCCGTTTTCGTGAAACACGCACTACCAAAATGGCCGATTTCACGAAGGCACGTTGCTGCACATCGAATTTCACCACATTTTTTACAAAACTCGCGATCACGCACGAACCATAAACCAGAGATGTCAGCCGCTGGCCTACTGCGAGAAAGTCATACCACGAACACTCACAGCCGCTGCGTTCACATAAATGAGATCCAGCGTACGAATTGAAGAAACGTAACGTTTCAATCGATAATCGAAGCGTGCGCACAAGCGCTTTCGTTGTGACCCACTTTTCATCGCAAGATAAAATCCATATCGTCCTCTTGCAGCTGACCTTTTTTCACGTCCTACGGCGATTTCCTATCAAAGGAAGTCGAAATTATACATTTTACAGTTCGCAGGATCTTCTCATGGCAAATCATCATTTTCTTCTGGAATCCATCTCTTCATTTCGAATATTACGCGGCAAATGCTTTTATTGGCGGGGGATATTTACGATTGTTAAGAAAATAGACAGCAACCAATAAAAATACCGAGATCCTATCTGTTATACTTGTAAAATCGATAGTTAAGCAGTCATTATCGATAGTAGAATATTTAATCTTTTTGTAAAATAATTATGTATAATACGTAAATTTGTCAATAATGCACATTATATCATTGTAATTATTCATCGAAGGAAGTAATGCATGTTATAATGATTTGCCTCTTGTTGTTAGCATTGCATCGGTATTTTAATATTCCTCTATATAATTGTATGAAAAATATTGAAGATTGGAGATTCATTTTAGATACTTTGTTCGAAATCATATATCTTTTATTTTCAACATAACTTTCTTGTAAAGTATTTGTAATTTTGTCAAGTATTTCATGATCAGAAAGTATGTGGTTTTAGAAAACATTGGAATGATACGAATTTAAATCTGTTTCTGAGTTTGCGTAGTAAAATTATTAAATATTCTTTCAAATTTTTTTTGAGCGTACAAGAATAAAACAAAAATTACTAGGATTTGAATGATACTATTGGACGACATGTTATGTGTTCCTAAAAGTAACGTCTACCTTAAATAATCGTTAACTACACTGTGACATGACACGTTTGTATTTATTGGTATTATTAACAACGAGTGAGAAGGTATTTCGACATATTTTTGTTAAAAGATTACCAATTTCAAATATATTTTCTTTTTTTTTTTTAGTATGAAAATTTAGATCCAACAAGATGAAAGAATTGAAAAGAATGAAAGTTGATCCTGTTTAATCTTGCTTCAGAGTAAGTTAATTAAGTTCGTGTCTAACGCGATGAGAAGAGGTAATTCCTTGTTAAACAGATTGTCTAAAATCTTATGAGTAAAATGAATAAACGTCGGAATTTTGACTGAAATTAATACGTTGAAATAGTTCTTAAAAGTATAAATTCACCACAAATTCAGTGCACACATATGTAAGTGAGGGCGCGATCAGTATTTTCCTACGATACAAGTCCAAAATGTCAGACATCGATAAATGGATGGAAATTGCAAAAGAATGCAAATATCTCCCTGAAAATGATCTTAAGGTAAACAATATATGAAAAATGTTGTTTATTATAGTACCAATTACGTTGTTTTTCTGTTAATACATGTAATACAATTTTAAACGTACGCTCATAGGTTACTTGACTCTTCTGTGTCTCTTAACAATAAAGTTAATTTTGTTTAGAAACTTTGTGACATGGTATGTGACATACTATTAGAAGAATCTAATATTCAACCAGTCTCTACTCCTGTAACAGTATGTGGAGATATCCATGGCCAGGTAAGTTTTACAATTTTATTCTAACCTCAACGTGATGTCGATATCTTTGGAGATAACGATAACTATTTCGATGATAAAACTATTACGATGTATTTGTATAAGTTAACTGTTACGATTGTTTATTTTGTTCCAGTTTTACGATCTAGAAGAATTATTCCGTAATGGAGGCGCTGTGCCTGAAACAAATTATATATTTATGGGAGATTTTGTAGATAGAGGGTATTATAGTGTAGAAACATTTACCCGCCTACTCACACTTAAAGCTAAATGGTCTGATAGAATAACATTACTTCGAGGAAATCATGAATCCAGACAGATTACTCATGTTTATGGTTTTTATGGTTAGTACATATTGTATTATAAAAATGCAATGTATTTATTGCTGTGTCATATTCAAAAGAGTATGGGATAATATTTGATAATTATGATTAAGCTTGTAATTATATTCTATACAGATGAATGCCAAAACAAATATGGCAATGCTAATGCATGGAAATACTGCTGTAAAGTGTTCGATTTACTTGCAGTTGCTGCCGTTAGTATTTGTAAATAATAAATGAATTTAATACTGTGTTAACATATTTAATAAAAATGTGGATATTTTTATTTAGTTAATTGATGAACAAGTACTTTGTGTACATGGTGGATTGTCTCCAGCTATTAAAACATTAGATCAAATTAGGACGATTGAAAGAAATCAAGAAATTCCACACAAAGGTACCTTATTATCACTTGATATAATTATCCTTGTATTACCTTGCCAACTTATGTTATATTATCAATTAATTTTGATTTCTCACTTATTTCAGGTGCTTTTTGTGATTTGGTTTGGTCAGATCCAGAAGATGTTGATTCGTGGACTATTAGTCCGCGTGGAGCAGGCTGGTTATTTGGAAGTAAAGTAACATATGAATTTATGGAAATCAACGATCTTAAACTTATTTGTAGAGCTCATCAATTGGTTCATGAAGGTATTTATTGTTATATAAATTATACATTTATTTACTCATTTTTACATAAAATATACAGTAAAAATTTTTGCGATAATATTTCATATATTTTTTATCATAATTACAGGTTATAGATACATGTTTAATGATAAGCTTGTAACAGTATGGTCAGCTCCAAATTATTGTTATCGTTGTGGTAATGTAGCTAGTATTTTACAGTTCACAACTGTCGATCAGAGAAACCCAGTGCTATTCCAGGCAGTGCCTGATTCTGAAAGAGTAATTCCACCTTTAAATATCACACCGTACTTTTTGTGATCTAACCTAGTGTTCCATTTGTTTGGATGCAGAAAGGTAGTATCTGCGTCTAGACGTTACGAAATTACATGACTGTTTCTTCATGTTGATGGACACAGGCTGGTACTTTGACGGAGCATTATATTTTCGAACATGGATTAAAGTATGATACATTATTTAGAATTTTAATTTAAAAAATTTTTTTATGTTTTTACAAGAAAACATATTTTTACGCGTTTTTTAAGAAATTTATCCATTTTTGTATGTTAAGAAATTAACTTTTATATATCGTGCGCCTGCCATTGCATCAGCCTGATTCTCCTAGTTTGAAAAATGTTTCGCATTGAAATAAATGCGAACACTGTGGTCTAGACGCTTTTGCTGTCTACTGTGTACATTCTGTAGAGCATTCGCATCTCAGAGCAGTATTTTGAACGTATAGTTCGAAGAACTTCTAAATAAGTTACGAACACCAACAACAAAAGGTTCAGCAATGTATGAATGAATAAATGAAAAACCATTTAAACATTCCGAAGTGGGAGAGCCTCTGAGTATAGTGAATGCTTAATTGATATTATGATCGTTGTGCGTAGAATTCAGGTTTATTAAAGCGTGAGCATATATACTACTGTTAAGGTCTTCCTGAGTATGTAATTGATCTGTTTCTGGTTTAGATACTGTGTGTGCTGCGTGCAATTCTTTTTATTCTAGATGCGCAATCAGTGTTCTTAGCAGCATAAAGTCGGCAGTTCTGCCGAGGTACAAATAGTATGTAGCAGTAGCCAAAGTTTTCCTGTCTAGGTAAGGAAATTGAGTAGAAAAATTGTATTATATAATAGAAGTTTTGTTATTATTTTTATGCACATGACAATTTTATATTTCAGTCTCTTTTTTTCCTTCTTACGGGCTCAAAATACTATCTGCAAAATATCTTAAAAAGTATTGAAATTTTTTCATAGTATCGGCCTTTTTAGCCATGTTCTACTTTTATGTGTACAGAGCAATAGTTTGAATATTATTATATTCTCGGAATCTTTGTACAGTTTCCACATTATATGCCAAATCGCTGTCATACTGAATAATTATAATAGCTAGATTGTCATAAGTTCATTAATGTAGGGAGCAACTTTTAAGAACCAAGACCCTTAGCAATGTGCCTCTAAATTAATAAGCGTTTGTGTAATATAATGATACGATATTGATACATAATTAATGGAACGCACCGGCCATTGCGTATCATAAGCCTGAATTCTGACCATCGATTTGCTAGCTCATGATATTCCTAACCGATCACAGACCCAACAAATATGGCATTGGCATTGGCACTGGCTGTCAAGTTGAAACTACTCTATTTTGAGTTTTGTGATATAGTTCAAGCGAGGCATGTGAAAATTGCATCGATGTTTGTAACGATTTTCCATGTCGGATCGTTTGAAAATGTTTTGAAGACTTGTTATTTCAAAAAAATAAAAAAAAAAAAAAATAAAAATAGTCAACTTTTGAACAGTGCCTTCAGAACTATAACACGACGGTCTACTAGAAGTAAATACTTTCTACTGACGGATAATCATAGACGAACTAGGACGGATCTTATAAATAACAGAGAGCTTAACAAGAGCGTGTATAAGGAATTCTCTTCACTTTTTTATATTCCAGAAAATGTTATTAACAATTCCTTTATCATATTTCGACTTTTATTATATTATCTCGTAAGATATTTCGGCGTCCAATTCAGTGATTGCTTTACATGATACTTTTTACATTTTACAATATTATCGATAAAAAATACGATTTATATATATAATATATATGCAGATTGTTACAATATGCAATTATACGATTTTACATTAATCACTGCTTTGTATTTACATTATTGATATTATATTAGATAGAACATTACACAAGGCAAGACACGGAGTTTACGTTACAAACTCGATCTGTCGGTTTTGCAGCCTCTATTATCGTAAAACGGCGGGTGATGCGTGAGAATGCCTACGTAGTACGGATATCCTAGGAATTCGTAAAAGTATTAGCTTCTGTGTCTACCTAGGTATTCACAGCAGTCACTTTTGAAATGCCTCTGTCTGTGATCGCTTTAATCTTATCGAAGTGTCCAAGCGCTTGCGATGATTTACGTCGGTAAGCTCACAGGAATAAAGACAATGACATTAAATAATGAGACTACTTTAGCTTAATAAACGTTTTGTGCAGGAGCTTGAACACTGCGCATAATTCTTAAAGATCTCACAGGTAGACAACATTTTAACGATCATGTACCTTGAAAGTATAGATTTTGTTATGTTAATGTAATGAAACGTCTGTAATAAAAATGCGCAAAAATTGCAACTGACATTATCAATATAAAACTCCCGTTATTATTGTGATGAATGAAGTACAAATATATACATATGTACACGCATATAGATACACGTATGCACATACATATATGTATATGAAATGAAGGTATTCAAAGAAAAGACTATCATATCATATGTAGGTGTGGGTATGGAATAATAAAGATATCGTCAACTTTGTTCATCTTTAATTAGTTTATTTACTCGTAATAATATTATTTTCATCGTATATATAATAATTCTATTTATTCCTTACTATTTATATATAATAATATAGTGTATTTATGTTCATTATGTATAATATATTATCTACATTTATAATCCCTATGAAAGGCATCTCCAAACAGACTTCAGATTTACTTTTTTTTTTTTTAAAATATCTTATTTATTCATAAAAATACAGGGGGTTTACGTGCTACCTGTGAAGTCTAGCCTGTTTTGCCTGGAACCGATAGCTTCCGATTTATTGGTCGGATGAACAACATTATATTATATCTTACAATTCTTACTCCTTGCAATAACAATGAATTTATTATTATGATTCTCAACATCATCTATGTACACGTTTTTATGGAAACAAATGCGACGACTTTTCTGCTCGATTACAAATCTGCAAGCGCGTCCGTGTTCTACTTCTCGTTGTATCGTGTTTTGTGGATAATTGCATTATTAATAATTATTTCTTATAACGATCAAACAATTTTCAGAGCTCATTGCATAAAAAAAAAAAAAGAAAATGAAATGCAGTAGAAAATGCAACGAATAAGCTGATTCGTTATTTAATGAAATCCTTATTAACGATAAAAAATAAATAAAAGTTACAATACAAATTTTTACGATAAGCCTATATAAACATACTCTCTTTTGCACTGACTAGATTTTGACAAATTAATCTAACAAAAGATCATATGTAGATTTTCCAGTCTATCCATTTAACTATTTACAAAAGAGAAAAATTGTGAATTATTTTAACTACTAAAAACTGTCTAATGAAGTTCATAATAAAATATCAATGTGCGATCGCTTTGAACAGTTCCTCTAAAAATTGTAAAACACAACGTATGAAAACGTGCAAAATGCATGAATGATATTTGAATCATTCTCAATAAAATAGTGTCCATTCAAGAAACAAAGAATACATTCGTACGCGAGACAAAGCTCGAAATCGATTAATCGAGTCAAATTTCGAGAATATTCGAAAGACGCTGGACGAAACAATTTCGCAGGTGTTTGCGTCATAATCAACGAGAAATTGTATTTCGCGCGCAAAAGTTGGTGAAAAGAATGATTAGCAGCAATGTAGCATCCGGTTCCCGGCAGAGCAGCAATTCACACGGCGCCCAAATCTCAGTTACAAAAGGAATAGTCGAAGGTAAACGAGATGATAAAAATGTATTTCCTAAACGTAGGTAGAAATTGGTAACTTTGACTCACTCATTGAAAAAGTATTTCCTCTTGCCAATCCGGCATTCGTGCTTTCTTTCTGCCCGTCGTTTTTGGGTTAACATTTGTATTTCGCGCTACTTCGCTTATACCGTGACAAACAGCATACTTCAGTGTTAACCAATCGGTTCGAAGTGATGGTGCGTGTTTGAAAGTTTTCTCCGTGTTTTAACAAGAAAATCAATTGATATTTTCGCCGATTTCGATGGAGATTGAGTGCCGAAGAGAATATTTCGGTGAGTAAAGTATCTAAGATCATCGTAATTTGATAATATAGCTACAACAGTTGTTTTAATATTATGTGAACGCTTAACGGTATCGAATGTCGCGGTCTGGAGTTTGAATGTACATTTCAACCGTTACACATACTGCCTCGTCCGTAATTTTACCATCAGGTATTTTGACACCAATAATTTCATAATCACGATTAATCGTCCCGAAGGGAATGCAAATTCTTATTATCATTCCGACATTTACGAACAATTGATGTTTAAACAACTGAGCAAAACAATTACGTATTTTTCATATATTTATGTTATTTCGTTATAAGATTCCGACCATACACGGCTAAATACACATCTGGTTGCATATGTTTCGTTCAAGTTTGATCGTACGAGTGGACACAGGATTAGAAACACTGTGACGCCGCTTGACACTATATAAGAACAGGTATAACACGGAATTATACAAAGAGACAGGACTAGTACTTTCAACGTAGTTATTATTAAACCTTTCGTACAATATGTACAAAGTTAAACCCACAAACGAGAGGCATATGTATTTTTTATATTTTTAAATTTCATCTTCTTTTTTTTTTTTTCTTTTACTTTTGCTCAATAGACTCTCACTCGCACTTAAATATTAAAGGTTGGGCATGATAATACTCGCGGGTAGTATAATGCCCTAAGTCTTGCTGATCCAACGCATAGCTCTCCCGTAAGCAGCTGCTGTACTCCCAGACATCGGTGCACATTTCATTTTATACAATATACATATTTATATTTATATTTATATTTATATATATATATATATATTTATATATAAATATAATATACTTATATATAATATATATATATATACTTATATATAATGTAATATAATAGACAGTCCAACTCGGCGCTTTTTTTCTCTTGACGCGGCGTTCATTTTTTTTTTTTNTTTTCTTTTAACATCCGTCTCGACACTGCCACTTGTATATGTACATGCTAACAATAAATAGGAGGCGACAAGAAAAGAGTTCTCCGCGGGAAGTACATTATGTTTACTAGCTAAAGAAAATAAAAAAAAAAAAAAAGAAAGAAAGAGGGGAACAGAGTTGGTTAAGATGGAGAAAAGTTGTAGGAACATAAGGGTGAACAGTCGAGATTTTGATGGATTGGCACGGAGGATCAGGAGGGAAGAAGAAGGGACGCGGAGCGTAAAAAATATCTATGAAGATAAGAGATAGAAGGAAGAAAGCAAAAGGAACAAACATATCGGTCTAAATGCTAAGACGATTGCTTCTTCTCTTCGTATTGCACTATTATATTAGCGGTAACTTCGCAAAAGCAAATTGCTTCGCGTACGATTTATGCTCGCGAGGAAAAAGTCAAAAAAAAAAGTAATTTTCCTAATGGTGCAAAGCTACAGCAAGAAATGCGCGTTAGCCGAACACGATGTCGAATTATTCTCTTAACGTAATGTAATAATTTTGCGAGGTTCTTTTCTTTTTCTCTTCGTTCCTCTCTATCTCTCGTGGCTGCGACCTTATCGACCGTCCAATTGAACACAGAGACAAGTGTACGATGATGTCCGGGGAATACAGGAACCGTTACCCCCAGTTCCTTAACCGCAAATAATATACATTGTTTACCGTATGAAGTATCCCATCGTTAGTTAAGTCTTATAGTATGGACAAGTATCCCTAGGCTAGTAGGCCCAAGGTCTGTGTGTATAGTTCTCGTGTTGATTTTTTTTTTTTTCTTTTTTTTCTTCTTTATACGTGCGCTCGCGACCACGAGTTCGGCGAAATTGTTTCGAGATGTGAGAAAAGGCAACGAGAGTTGTCGAGAGTTAGAGAAAGTTCCTTCGCGGAAAGCTTCGATGGAACTTTGTTTTGAGCAGAATATTCGCGCGGTAGGCTCGATGAAGTGAAAGTAAAATTAGGGGTCGAGGGTTGAAGAGTAAATGCAACACGACCGAAGACGTCCAGAGACACACGAGACTGCGGACCTTCGGAATCAAAGAAAAAGGGGAAATTCGATTTCATCGTACTCGTGATCGTGCGCGTACCGGTGATTAGCGCGTGTTTACGATAAGTTTCTATGGAGGCAAGATGAAACAATCACGTTGTGATAGAACGTGCGCTGATTAACCATTACATGCGTATACAAGGAGCATTATTCATTACGTTCTTTTCTTTTTTTTTTTTTTTCTTTCTCTTCTTTTCCAAGACACGAACAAGACGTTTCGACTGGCGTCAGCCACCGGTTTGTTTGCTTTCGGTCGTTATTTCCATTTTCTAGAATGGTTTCCGCTATCTTAAATAATTGAGCCAATCCGGAGAACTGGGTATTTCTGAGTTGCGGGGAAACTGAGGTATCACACGCGTTCGCGACACGTAAACACACACGATACGTTTGCCAAGATGAGGACAATTTTGCGCAAGTCAAAAGACAAAAGTTCGCGCTCAGAAACGCGAAGGAAAAGAAATTCTACTCGAACTTTAATTACTTCGTTTTCTCCCCTCGTTTGCCACGAACGTGAGCTTCCTCGCAAGAAAGAAATACCAAGTCACTTGCTATTTTATATTTTTCGTTCGTTTGTGTATTTTACCCTCTTTCTTTCTTCTTTCCCTTTTTTTGTTTCCTTTCTTTCTTTCTTTCTTTCTTGTGTATAATACTATGAAATTATCGCAGTCATTTCAACGAGGAATCATAAAAAAACAATCTTTTTTTTTTTTTTTTGTCGCGAATCAATGGTGAACACCTGGCAACGAGAAACGAAGCGAGCGCGCGCTCGCACGCACGGGGTTTCGAACGATCCGATCCTCCGCAAGAATTCTCAATATAGAAAAAATATCACTTCGATATATAATACGGCAGGCTACGAATTTATTAGAACTGTATAAAAAACTGTTTAAAAAGTTTTACTTTACGTATCGAAAATCAGCGTCAGTTCGAAGTGCACTCGTCACGCGAAAATTTTGCAAAATATTTGCAAGTGATCGAAGCGAACTTTGATTTATTCAAAATACGTCGTCGAAAGCCTCGCGATAGGCGGTCCCCCCGTTCGTGAAACGTTTAAAGTAATTACCATCGAGAGTTTCGTATACGCGGCACTTCTTTCTTCTTTCTTTCTTTTTTTCTTTTTTCTTTTTTTTTTCTTTTTTTTTCTTTCGTAAGCTCTAAAAACGCGTGATCCGCGAAAAGATGGAGGATCGGATTGTCCGAAGGACAGAGTAAAAAATCGGTTACGAACAAGGACATTTTCGACCGGTGAATGATGCACAACGCGTAAAGATTTCACGTCGATGACGATAAAATGTAAATTAACAAAACGGTGAATATA